TTTTGACTGAGTCATTATGAAAGTCACACTTAGCAATAGGCACGTTCAAGCTGCGCCTGCTTTTAGTCAAAACATGTTTATTCATAAACAATTAATTTGCTGAGTGGTGAATCCGCAACTAAATAGCTATTTATCGTGTTCTTTTACTCTGACCATTATAGTCTGGCTGTTAGAAACCAAGCAATGTTGGTTTTTTTTCACAAAAATTACAATCATTGAATCAAACACTTTGAAATCGTCATTGAGAGAGCCCATAAACTATCATCTGACCATTATAGTCTGTCTGTTAGAGACCAAGCAATGCTGGTTTTTTTCACAAAAATCACAATCATTGAATCAAATACTTTGGCATTGTCATCGAGAGCGCCCATAAACTAGTATAAATCCAGAGACCTAGCCTCTTTACTACAATGTGTTTTACTCTTGAAGAAAATGGATTTTTATTTTGACTATCAATTTTGATGTTTTGTGACCTCAAAATGATCTTCACCCTGTCGAAAAGTCAATTACAGAAATCATAATTTAGAGTAAGCGAATCAGCGATGGAATCAGAGCAACCCGAAGTTCGTAGGCGTGGACGCCCGCGCGTCTTTGCGTCAGATGCGGAGCGCCAAAGAAATCATCGTAGCATCGAAGGAGAAAGGCGGCGTGCTCTGCGTCTAAGCGCAGATGCAGAACGTCATTTGCTCGAACGCCAGAACGAGGACGCCGAGCATCGCTCCATCAGACGCACCCAAGACTCGCAGCGTCATCGCGAAGAACGCGAAGTTCAAGAGCACAGCAGCGTTCTGAAAGACGATTTGCTAATGCTCAACGTGAACAGAGACGGCGTGAGGGAGAAAATGATGAAGAGCGCGCACGACGTCGATCCGAGAACATGCAACGGCAGCGAAGGAGTCGTGTTGTGGAAAGCGAGGAAAGTCGATCTGCACGTCGTCGCCAGAACACACTTCGTCAGCAGAGACGACGAGAGGCTGAAAGTGCCGAAGAGCGTGAACAGCGCCTTTTGGAACAAAATCGGCGTCAGCAGAGGCTACTGCAGAATGAGACACCTGATGAGGGCGTTGAACGCCGAAGAAGAGACGCGCTGCGACAGAGATTGCGCCGAGCGCAACAAAACGCTGAAGGAGAGGAGGAAGCAGAATATGTGCAGGAAAACATCGAGGGTCAGCAGCAAGGCGAACGGACATTGGATATAACAATAAGAAATCGTCAACGTCGCAATGCCGCCCGTGGAATAGCTCTCAGACAACGTGCGACGAACACTAACTATCTAGGAGAGCTTGATTGTCGTTGCTCGAATTGTGGTGCGTTGCATTTCCTCTTT